ACCTACTCAAGTAGGAGTTCAACCTGCTGCAGTAGCCGGAGCGAAGTTGTGCGAGTGTAGTGCGTGTCTCCCGAGGCAGATGAAGCTCTGTCTCGTCTATGTCCGGGGTTGGTATGCCTAGAACGGCATTCACAGGTCTAGAGTCTACATAACTCGAGACTGAGTCCCTGTGAATGCCGTTCAGGGCCTGTCTGTAAGCTGTCGGGTCCAGAGGTTGCTTAATGAACCTCTGGACTTCGTCCGTCAGTTCATATAGATGCCTCCTGACGTGCCTAGGCGAGGGCTCCTCTGCAAGCAGCTGTCTGCTTGGGTGGCCACTTCTGTGGCTCCCGATCAGGAACTGCTTGCAGAGCATTATATTGTGCTCCTTTACAGGGAGCATTTGCGCCTCGCCGTGCAGGTGGTGTTCAGGCGACATCAGGAGGCATCCTGTCGCTGTCCTGAGTGCGGTGTTCTGTACAGTCTGTAGCTTCGTCCACTGCGTCCTACTAGTCCCTGGCGACCACACTGGCGCTGCGTAGTTCAAAACCGGCCGGCCTATTGCCTTGTATGTTGCCAGCAACGTTTCTTTGTCTTTGCCCCAAGTACTGCCGGCTAGCGACTTGAGGACCTTGTTGCGGCTCTGTACTTTATTGACAATAGCGGTTGAGTGCGCAGAGAAGGAGAGCAGGCTGTCGAATGTTACTCCGAGTATTTTGGGGTTATTCACCGTCGGAATTGGTGTGTCATCGACGTGAATCCCCAGCGGTAGCCTGACCTCCTTCGTCCAGGTTGTGAACAGGGTCGCGGAGGATTTCGTAGGGGAGAGGGCTAGACACTTTGCAGTGAAGAAGCGAGAAAGTTCGGAGAGATAGCCGTTTACTTTCGAACACAGGTCATCAATTCCATTCCCAGTCGCCATGATCGAGCAATCGTCGGCATAAGAGACAATCGAGACTCCCTCTGGTGGTTGAGGGAGCTTTGAAATGTAAAAGTTAAACAGTAGCGGGGAAAGGACACCACCCTGAGGAACCCCCTGTTTTATTTTTCGCTGCTTACTCGTTTTGTCTCTAAACATTACCGACGAATGTCGACCACTCAGATAATTTGCCGACCACCGTTTGAGCCTCTGTGGGAGAGAGGAGGCCTCTATATCTTCTAGTAGCGTGGAATGGCAGACGGTGTCAAACGCCTTTGACAAGTCCAACGCTACTAGAATCGTTCTCTCACAGGGACGGTTACGGTTAAGGCCACGAGTTATCTGAGTGTTTATGGCGTTAAGTGCTGTTGTTGTACTGTGCACTTTACGGAAACCATGCTGATGCTTCGCTGGGGTCAGGTGGTTTGTGAAGTACGGGAGTAGCAAGGCCTCGAGTGTCTTCGCTACCGGGGAAAGGAGTGTAATCGGACGATACGAATCTCCTTTGTTGGCAGGTTTCCCCGGTTTGAGCAGTGGGACCACTCTCCCCACCTTCCAGATGTCTGGGATGATGAGAGTGGCCATTGACAAGTTGAGGACCTCCGTTAGGTACGCTACCCCCGCAGGACCCAAATTTTTCAGCATCAGCATGCATATTCCGTCGGGACCCATGGCTTTGGAGGCTTTCGCCTTCCCGATGGCCACCTGAACTTCACCGCAAGTGAAAGCAAGGGGGGCACAGGTTGTTGGCAGTTTGTGCAGCCTTCTGGTCACTCGACGCTTGGCTTTGTCCACCGGAGGATGCAGTATGAACTGCCGGCTAAAATAGCTCGCGCATCGCTCCGGGTCCGACGAGGCATGGTCGCCGAAGGAAATTTCGACTCTGTCGTCGTGCTTCGTCGGATTAGACAATGACCTCACGGTTGACCAAAGCTTGCTCACACCAGAGGTGAAGTTACAGGTCTTCAGATGCTCCTCCCACTTCTTCCGCTTATGTACGTTTACTAGTTGCCGAATCTCCGCGTTGAGATCCCTGATACGGGGATCTCCGGGATCGGCCTGACGAAGGCTATCACGCTCATTGGCTAGAACAGCCGCTTCGGCAGGGAAGTTTGGACGTGGGTCCGATATACATCCTGCCGGTATGAAGCGAGCTGCAGCAGCAGTGATAGCCCTGCGGAACTTACGTTCACCGAGATGGACGTCGGTTGGTGTGGGGAGCGCTGTGAAGGTGTTTTCGGTAAACTCCGCGTAACCTTTCCAATCAGCTTTAGAAAAGTTGATATAGGTCCGGTGTTTGGCGGAGGCAAAGTCGGTTGGTTTATCAATCGAGATGACTATGGGTAGATGGTCTGATGCTAGAGTCAGCATAGGTCGCCACGTTATGCTGTTTATCAGACCAGCGCTGACTATTGTGATGTCTGGCGAGCTACTGCAGTTACCCATAATCCTGGTGGGTGCGTCGTCGTTCATTGTGCAGAATGTCGAATCGTCTATCTGCTCAGCCAAGTCTGTTCCCCTACGATCGTTTGACAGGCTTGAGTGCCAAAGATCGTGGTGCGCATTAAAGTCACCTACTACCATACGGTTTTCACCTCTGAGGAGCGCACCTATATCAGGGTGATATCCTGCCGGGCAGCAGGTGACAGGGGGTATGTATATGTTAAATATTTCGAGCTCGACATCGCCTGACCGGATAGCGATGCCCTGACATTCTAGGGTGGTATCCCTGCGGTCGATGTCTGCTTCGATAAGACGATACTGCACGGTGTGGTGCGTGATGAACGCTAAGCCACCACCATTATCTCGCTCGCGATCTCGACGGTGCACGTTGTACCCGGCGCAATTCAACAAAGTTGAATTGCTGTGCAACTTCGTCTCTTGGACCGCAGCTATCAATATACCATGCCGACACATGAAGACGGTTATCTCCTCAATCTTGCTCTGTAGCCCGTTGCAGTTAAATTGAAGGAGCTTCATGTGGTTCGGGAGACGTGTCGTTATGTGGGGTGTAAGTGAAGTGTATGTTCTTGCCGCCGTTGGCTGTGTGCGCTGCTGTGGTGATTGCCGCCCTGTGGTGGTGGCGGGGGGCGTCGCAATTGGGGTCTGCGACCGATCAGCGCAACACGGGCCCTCGAAGTTCCCAGTCCAATCTCGCGTGGTACGCAGACCTGAGCATGCCCTAAAGTGGCACCAGCCAAGGCAAGTGTTGCACTTGACTGATGTCACATTACGGAATATCCTGGTCTGACATACCGTGCAGATTGTAGGGGGAACCAGGAGTTGTTGGCGGCGGCGTGTGGGTGGTGGTGCGGTTGTGTGTGTTATGTGGTCTGTAGTGGCTGTGGTACGGTGTGTGGTGTTATTATGTTGTTGTGTTGTGGTGACTGTGTGAGGCTGCTGTGTGAGTGTGTGAGGCTGCTCGGGCGGACTGTGGTTAGCCGTGGAGGCTGCTCTGTTTGAGCAACAGGAGCTGCTGTATTTTAATGCGCTGCACTACGTCCATATCGTTGTAAAGCTCATAGAGCTCATCGATCCGTCGTCTGCGGTACTCGCCGTCGCCAACGCGTAAAGGCCCGAAAATCTTCCGAAAAATCTTTCTCTCGAATACTCCAAGAGCCGCCTCATCGGATGTTGTCATTGTCCATGCTTCTGCGCCATATACCAGTACGGGCATGATAAGTGACTTATAGAGTGCGGTTTTCATACGTCGAGAGAGGACTTTACTCCTGAATTGCCTACTCAGTCCAAATTAGCACTTGTTGGCAAGAGTGATTCTGCGTTGGATTGCTCACTGCTGAATATGGAGCGCTCCAATAGCTTTGCTTAGTGTTCTTTCCACTTTATTCTTTAGTAATTAGTAAGTTCTTTTTTATATATTTTCAATTTAAAATACGCTAAACAAAGTGTGCTTAGAATGAAAAGCAGCTAAGTTAATTTTTACAAATTTTAAAGGGGGAAAAGTTGCTTGTAGCCATTTTCTTCAAGTATTTTGCGAAATTTTTAATACAAAACTATGCGTTTTTAAAGCAAGGAAGATTTCATGTTGATTAAAAGATTTCGTATTATTTTGGGCTTATCGTGTTTTTGTGTATGTTTAGTACTTGGCAAATTTTCCTTTCATTGAATATAAACGGAAAGAAATAAAGCAAGTAACTTTTTTATAAATGATGCACCAAAGAACTAAAAATTACCGATAACATTTTAGTATTTTTTTTTGTTGAATTACATGGAGTTTAGCCTGCATATAACGAATAAATTCAATTTATTTTTATATGGAAGAAAACTGTAACATTTGAAACTTGCACTGAACCAATAACAAACGAAGCATCAACTTTGTTTCTGATGCAATGATTGCTCTAGCGATGCGTTTCGATAACTTTTCGGATGCGTTTTGGAACAGTATACATTGTCAATATTTTGTAGTGCGGCATTATGGAACATTATACTTTGTACCAAGGTACATTGAACAGGTAGTATCAGTAGAGCAGCCGATTTGATTTATTTTCAAATTATTTGGTCTCGAAAATGTCAAATATTTTGAATTTTTTCTCACGAAAATTATAAGTTGTTAAAATCCATTTGCTTGTGAAACCTTTTTCCATACAAAACAAGCGATTGAATAGCAGCTTTTGGAACGTTCGCCCAACTCGGCAGCACGACCGCTGATTACTGGGCCTTGCAAAGGATGGATCAATGCTTCGAGAAGCAAACAAATTTACTAGGAAAGAAAGTTGCATCAATTTTTATTTTTTCCAATTTCAATTTTTTATTTTTTATAATTTTTTGTATTTCACATGGCACGCTTTGATTTAGAAGAAAAAATTCAGAACAGTTGTTGACACTTTCGATACCAGAAGCAACAACAAAATACACGCAAATGTTGTTTTTGCTCTACTGATACTACCTGTTTAATGTGCCTTGCTTTGTACGAATGCAAAGCAATCGACGTTTCGGAAGTCAGCCTATTATAATAGAATTGCATAAGCTACAAAGCTGCATACTCAAAATAGAAATGCGATGCGATAGACAACCGCCACGTATTTGCCTTTCGCATCGCATTACAGAGTAGCCCCCCAGATGGCATCGGGTGATATCTATCTGCGTAGGCGGCTTTTGACTTTTTCCCTATTTTGAAGAGGTTCGCCTGAGGAGCCCTGGAGTCGAAGGAGAAAGAGACTCAGGTCATTGAATTCTTTGGTATTTGCTCTTTCAAGCTGGAAAGGTAAGCGATGTCACGCCCCACCAGTTTTTTGTTCAAGCCTCGAACTAACAGATACATTTCGGGACCCAACCCTTTATTTTAGTTGCGCTATAAATGATCTTTCTTTTGATCTTATTATGCTAATGATTTGATTAATAAATGAAATGAAAATAACTAAAAGTAAATAACAACAAAATACCAAAAAAACTGAAAGTTGTCAATATGTGGTGCGGCTATACTTTTTTCTCCACTGTATAAGTACTGTTCAGTCCAACCGGTACTGTTCTACGATGGGTTCAGCAATGTCCCGAATAGGCATCCATGCATACATATGTATTTATCATATTCGATTCTGTTTTCGATCCTCGGACAAGCACCACAATACATAAGCCGTAATCGATTCGCCCACAGTTAGCAAGTGGCGAAACGAACGAACTCAATGAGGTACAACCAAACTCGCTATCGTCTATCCGTGCTATCACATGCAAAAGCAACAACAAAGCTAGCATGGATAGACGAAAGCGAGTTTGGTTGTACCTCATTGAGTTTGTTCGTTTCGCCACTTGCTAACTGTTGGCGAATCGATGACGGCTAATATCATACTCTTCATAGATTTCCTATTTCCGCTCATCTTTTAGTTTTAGCAATTGGTGCAGATGGATTTTCGCCCTTGTAGAATTCTTTAAGTAATGCCATTGCTTCATCAGCACAAATCCCGCCTTTTACTTCCGGTTTGATAATAATATTGTTCGTGACAAATGGCACATCAACTAAAGTTTTGCCACCAAAACGATCATTAGCACAACCATATATAACCTCCTTGACACCTAAATCATGTAGTGCGGCTGAGCACATAATACAAGGCTCTACAGTGACTATAACACTGATTTTAGGAAATACGTCCCGATATAGCAATCCATTTTGCCTGCAGTACTCTAACGTTTGGTCTATGCAAAGAAACTCTGCATGCCGGGTAGCATTTTTGGTAGCATTCACATCATTTCCAGATCGTGCAATCACTTTGTCCATACCATGCGCATGGTAGATGAAGATGCAACCCACCGGTACTTCTCCAGCTGCTAACACTCTCCTGGCCTCCGCGAATGCTTCGTCCATGAAGTGCTCCATTATGTATTAAACTAAAAATAAAACATTTTAGTAAAGGTTTATGAAATATTCATGCACAAAACTTACAGAAAAATCTGCGAAGTTGCGGTGCAGATGTCCAAAAACCATCGAAAATATCGATATTACGCGCCGATGGATATATTAACGAGCGCTGAAAAACAGACAAGTGGTGGCAAAAGCGCGCAAAACGCTAAAAAAAATTAAATTGTGCTTACAATTAAATAGGGATGGTTAATTACACAGGTTTACAAAAAAAAACAGCTTATGGATAATAAAGCAAACCTATATATCCCTATGTTATTTGAAACGCTGAATGCGAATCCGAAGTCCGTTAGTCTCCACCAGGTTCGTGGTCAGTTGAAGGTCAAGTAGGGAAAAATTCATTGAATAAACCTGAAGAAAGTTTGAATGCAAACTATCGAAAACATCGAATGGGATGACTATCGATAGTTTTACAGTTCTAATTTTCGACTATCAAATTTCACTTTCCTAAAAAACACCTTTGCATTGCAATTCACAATAGTGTAAGCCAGCTGTTCGAAACATGAACGAAAGAAATTTTTGGTTCATGTGTTCGAAACACACGGTGGTGTTTAACAACACCTTAATGAGCCTCGATACACTTGTCTTTTCAGACTGTCCGGCCAGACATTGACGAAAATAGATAATATATATAAGATAGATAATATAGGTATAATAGAAATAGACTCTTTCGTATTCGGATTTTGCTACGAATCGTAGAAATAGTATGCAGCGGTCCGAATCGTATTTTCGAAATTCGTAACAATGGCATGCCTAAAAGCGAACGAGTAAGCTTTTTTGCGTAATTTTGTACGAAAACAATTCTGTGTCGGAGGCGAGATAATACATGTAAATCGATGTGTGTTTGCAGGAAATATTAGTGGCGTTCATTTAAACAGATAAATTTTCCTTTCTCATATACGTATATTTTTATCCACTGCTTTATATAAACAAGCAAGAAAGAATCTTTGCCACCCCTGATCGAGAAACTTGGGGCCGGTTTAGTTATTTGTACAATGATTTTTTTTTTGTGTCCAAACGCATAACCCGAATCCAGAAACTCTAACATACACGTGTAATCAAAGGATTAAACTTTTATTTGAAAAAAAATTTTTGAAATTTCCGAACACTAGCTTATTAATTAATACGGTTTGCACTATGCACGTGTTTGCAAATTTGGTGGGTTATGCGCAAAAATACTATGGATGATATGCACAAAAATGTTGTATAGCTTTGAATTGCGGAAGGCAACGTTCCCAATTTAACTTGATGAATAAATTTCAAAGCATGATGATGGGAGCTATGTGGCACGCAAAGCGAATCAAGCGTTTTATCTGGCATCAGCTTAAAAAGCAAAAACAAAATGGACAACAATAATAATATCCAAAGAATTGGGAATGTCACCAAGTAAAAACTTTATTAAAAAAAATTACAAATAAACACAGTTTATCAAACAAAAAAACTAAAACTTAAAATTCATTTATCTACTAACATTGTCCACAGGTACAGGACATTTTCTCATAAAAAAGTACATTTCTATGATTTAAAATAAACTTACGTATACATACATACATACGTTCTATGTTACGAGCAATAACAGCCAATTTCACGAAAACATTTAAGTAAATACTTTTTCACTTTAATCATTCTATTACTTCTCATTTAAGTCACATTTAATTTTAAACTCATTAAGGAATTTTCATACTGTTACAACAAAACCACTTTCAACTTTTTCATTTTTTTTTATTAATTTGTTTATTGATGAAACATGGAAATTTTAAAGGAAAAATTAAATAAAAATGAAAAATATAGTTTAATTAGAGTCGAATCTCAATTCAAGTTTCGGAAAACTGTAACATCCGATTCAGGAAAACAATGAACGTAAGTATGGAATTTAATTATTTGTGAAGAAATAAATAGCCCAAACATTAAATTAAATTAGAAATTGTATGAAAGCGACTGTAACAAAAAATATATATATTATTAAATATGTATATATTAGGGAATATTGCTAAATCCATCGCAAGGCGAATTTATATAAGGTGGTGTTACTAGCTCAGCTGATTTTGTATATGTGTTTCGCCGCACGGCTTCTGATATCAAAATGAAAAATTTTGTTTGAATTTCTACACACACTCTTACAGATTTTGACAGTTCATGCCGCCAAAGCAAAAACAAAATACATGTAAATTTTTGTTTTTGTACTCCTACTATCACCTTATATTAATTCGCCTTGATCCATCGTAGCCTATTTTGTGAAATTTTTGTTATTGTCATTATTGAGTCCGATAAACATTGGTGCAATTCGGATTCATAGATTTCTTTTCAACAGGCATGCCAAAAATTGGACAATGTGTGATTTAGCAAAAGACCCGAATAACTAGCATAAATGCTACACTTCATCGCCGATATATTTTATGAGATCAAATTCGTAAAGAAGTTTCTCGGCCTTTTCGGGCCAATTATGATTATTCAAAGAACGGGGGCTCGGATGAGGAAGCTTACATATTTTCAAACTACTCGCATGGCGAGAACGTTTTACCATGTCGTGCATGTACGATCCGATCACCACCAAAATTTCCGTTTTTAACAAGTCTAATTCCAAGTCCAGTACATCTAAACATGCTTTTCCAATTTTTGCTTTATAATCACCCTGTATTTAAACGAACATGTTTGATAAATTTTTGTGGATAGAATATTTAAATAACTTACTTTTAACTCACTAGGTGTAATATTGCGTCCGGCACTATCGTAAAAAATTAACGGACAAAAGTTATGTACAAAACATTGGCGACCAAAATTATTTAATGATCCACCCGCCAACTTTTTAAACAAACTCCAAATTCGTACACCACTGGGTTCTTCGATATTGCACTCCAATCCTGATACTGGCCGCTTTGCATGTATCGAAGGAGGTTGCTGAACTGAACCTGTCAAGCCCATTTCATCACGAACAGTCAAGATATTACCAAACGGCACCTTAAAAACAAGCACGCATATCAACAATTTTATTTGCGGCAAAATTTAATTTAAATAATAATAATAATGAAAAATAAATTTAAATTTTACCCCAGTTTGGCCCATCCCATTCGACCCTGGATTCATACCAACAAACACAACACGTTTCGGACCATCCAAATACTTTTCCAAGTAGGCGCAATGTATACTCGAAGCATATTCCACAGGATTGTAGACATGAGTAATACCAGGTGGTTTTAAAATGTTTTGCAAATCGTTATTTAACTTACACTCAAGTGTGTAAAACCGACTCCAAATTGATTGCTTTGTCTCAGAGCTTTTGGAATGCAATGTAGTTTCTGGAGGCACAGTAAACACTTTTGAACACTCTTCCGTCGGCTGCGATGCAAGACAACGTTTCTTTCTGGCAGCAAACTGTTGCAATGCATTTATTGTAAGTTTTGAGTCTCCACTAAAAGATGTTGGGGCTGGAATATTGTCTTGCGGCAGCTTCCTCCGTGACATATTTGGAAAATCAATTAAACTCCTTTTATTCAATGTAAAATGTAACTTAATTTTGTCCTTCGCCCGCGAAGTAGGTTTGTTTTATTTGCGCCCTTAATAAGCGTTGCCAACAACAGACATTTGTTATTAAAGCAGAAATTAGTCAAGAACGTAAACCTACCGGTACGTAAAATCGAGTCAGCTGACATGATCTGCCTTACACTGCGTTTACATAAGACAATTTGAGACAAGACAATTGAGAATATGTATTACGGCGCATTTACAACAAACACGTCATTTTGACATAATTGTCTTGACAATATTGTCCGGTGTAAACCCTAATTTAGTTGTCAAATTGTGTAACGTAGGCGTCCAAATTGTCGTTTGGCGTGAATTTCATATTATTTACTAAAATATCGGGAAAATTTTAGTAGACGGACGGCAAATTCTAGAAAAAGGGGGGATAAGGGCTGGTAGAATAGGTCCCCCTGATTTCAAAAATATCCCCCTTTTTTCTAGCAACCCTATAGTTCTTATATAATTTATTGTTAAAGTTTTCATATAAACGATGAATATGATAGCAAAATAACATACAACTTGGTGCAACCAGACTGGAATTTGAAATAATAAAAGCGGATTTTTAATTCGGAATTTTCACTTAGTAGAATTCTCCTTTCTGTTTTGCGAAGAAAAGGAGCTGAGCACCGTTTGCAGAGAACACCTTTCTGCGTAGGCGGCCTTCGGCCGCACTTAGGGATTATAACCCTCAGGCAGTAGAATTCTCCTTTCTGTGTTGCCAAAGAAAAGGGGCCGAACACCTTTTGCATAGAACACCTTTCTGCGTAGGCGGCCTTCGGCCGCACTTAGGGATTATAACCCTCAGGCAGTAGAATTCTCCTTTCTGTGTTGCCAAAGAAAGGGGGCCGAACACCTTTTGCAGAGAACACCTTTCTGCGTAGGCGGCCTTCGGCCGCACTTAGGGATTATAACCCTCAGGCAGTAGAATTCTCCTTTCTGTTTTGCGAAGAAAAGGAGCTGAACACCTTTTGCAGAGAACACCTTTCTGCGTAAGCGGCCTTCGACCGAACTTAAAGCAAACAAATCGGGCGGACCAACACCGCCTACGTCATGGGCAATATTTTTGCACAGGGGTTCGTGACCGGAAACCCTCATTGATAATAATACATGCCCAGAATAAAAGTAGCGGTAAATTTTCACTTTCTTTTGTATTGATTTCCCCTGTAATCCTTTTTAAACATTGCCTTCTTTGTATGTATTATTTTGTACAATATGGCAACACATGTTATGTGTCAGTTTGCAACCATGTGTTATTGTAAATATGGGTGCCATTCAATGTAATTTACAAGTCGACAAAAGTTGAATTTAAGTGATTTATATACAAGATAAAATAAAATAAAAGTGTGTAAAGTATTAAGTACAGTGTTATGTACATTTATATATATGAAAATATGTGACAAATGCACTTTTTGTTAAGGAAACCAAGTGGAACGACTTACGAAATTTTAACAACAAATAACTTATAAACAATGATATTGTTTATATTTTTTAGTCATACATGTTTTAGAGGATACCTCCCTTAACATCCTGACCAAGTTTCATTTGTTAATTCCACCTGGTTTTCTTAAAACACAAGGTGCGGCTGACTACTAAAGCCCACTCAAAATATCCAAACACAACCCACTTTTTCATAATTCTGTGATTTTTAGCGATTGCGCTTTGCCTCTTTTTCTCAAATTAACCAAGACGTGAAAGAATTTTCCAATTTACTGTCTCGAAAAATCAAAGACAGTGACGAAGACAATTGTCATTGTGTGAGTGAAAAACTGTGAATGTATTGCTATTGTCTTGGCAAAATTGTCTCATGTAAACGCCGGATTACCAGAGCGCCATGTAAAGAGAAGGCACGCCCCTGTTGCGCACTTTCGCCACAATTATAACGAGTTGTCCTTGTTATTTACGTTCTTTGGTAGCGGTGCTGTTGAATGCGCCACCTCTGTCTCTCTACGGTCGGTGTTATGCAGACAAACTTTTGTTTGCCAAATTAAATGGCGGCTGCTTAGTTTGCTCGGAGGTGGTTATGTCGAGTTTGACCCAGGGTTGCACGTTTATTATGGTTTCTACGGCTTTTGCCAACACGAAATAAGAACTTCAGATGTACATAACGCGCAAAATTTAAAATTTTTGTATATGACAACACCGAATTTGCTGCAGTTTGACCAAACAAAAGCTGAAATTAGTCAAGAACGTAAACCTACCGGTACGTAAACCCGAGTCAGCTGACACGACCTGTCTTACCAAAGCGCCATGTAAATGAAAACTCAACACCGCAGAATTTTTCTGTAGTTGTTGCCATTTTTAACTTTTTTTTCTTTTTCGATGGTCATATTATTGCTATTTTATAATCAGGCAATATTAAAAATGAATTTTTCACCATCGGATAAACAGTGAGTTAGGTATTTGCAAATAGCTTACGTATAAACGTAGTAACTGAGGGCTCCAGTTTACTGCGTTTAAGTATACGTTCCGCGTTCTTGACTAATTTCAGCTAAAGAGGGAAAGGGTACTCCCTCATACATCCACTGTGAACAAGAAAAAAAGAAGAAGAATTCAGACAACAGCTGTAAATATAAACAAGCGGCATTCTTCCAAAAATTTTGTTTTATTAGTGGATAAACAATTTTTTGTTCATACATTTAAGTTTTGTAATTTAAAAATAAAATTACACAGTAGCTTACTTTCATCATGGCAGGAGAAGTAACTGTTGATGCTTTGCCTTACATAGACCAAGGCTACGATGACGCAGGAGTTCGCGAATCGGTATAAGTATAAAAACGTAAACATTTTACAAGTATAATTTATTGTGCTTCATTAGGCTCTTGCTATGGTGGAGGAAGAATGTCGGCGATATAGGCCTACTAAGAACTATCTAGAACATCTGCCACCATTAAACACGAATGCATTCGAAACTGAATTAATGGCAAGCGAGTTTGAACGTATACAAAATCGTCAACCTATGGAGACTTTAAGCATGAAACGCTATGAATTGCCTCCACCACCGTCTGGCAAACTGTCTGAAGTGACCGCTTGGCAGGAATCTATAGAAAATTCCATGGCACAACTAGAACACCAATGGGTTCGTGCAATGAATCTCGAGCTTATGATTGACTACGGCATAGAATCATGGAAAGCATACCTAGAAGTGATAGCTGCTCTACAGGCTAAAACGCTGACACAGTTGCAGGAATCAAAAAAACATATACAGGATATAAATTGGCAACGAAAGCAAGCCCAAACTCATGCTGGCGAGAAACTTAAGACTCTGGAGGCCAATTGGGTACTTTTGGTATCTAAAAATTATGAAATAGAGCAAAAGTGCGTAGAATTAGAAGATCAATTGCAAAAAGCCCGCCAGGAAATCTTAAAATTAAAAGCCCAAAAGCAAAATTATTTAACGAATGGAGATTCATAATAGTAGTACCAAATACTTAACAATTGATTAAAGTAATTATCAGTGTGAGTTAAATTTTATTTAAAATTATGAATTAAATGTAACCCCATGTTTTTAAGTTCCTGATAAATTTCATCACTGTTGGTGTATTTTCCACTAAACTTAGAAGTTGCGATGAAAAATTTGAGTTCCACTAAAGCTTATATGTTTATTTGTAAAAATTACAAAAATTAAATCAGTACATATTGATAGTACCACGCTAGATGTTATTCTATGCATTTTCATTTCAGTNAACAAAAATTAAATCAGTACATAATAGGTTCATTCCTTATCTTTTTGGACTAAAATCTGAAAAGTGTCAAAATGCCAGAGCGTAAGCAAAATGCGCTCACTAAAAGAGAGTAACAGGAAAAGTAAAGGAACGCAAAAAACCAAATTTTTAGTCCAAAGAATGGCAACAACAAAACTAACGTCAAATAAGAACAGAAATGTATGTACAAAACACATTCACACAAGCACAAGCACAATAAACACTTGCTATATCAATTATTTTTTGCCTCCTTCCAATTTCAATTCATTTCTTTTACTTTTTAGATTATTCTCACTTTTTGCGTATTCTTTAATTTCCGTTAATTTAAATTCAGTTGAGTTTGACACTTTTCAGGATTTTGCCAGAAAAAATTCTTCTGACTAAATCTGACTACTTCGGACTGATGAGAGTCGCTCTCACTGACTGTTGCTCTCTCATTTTTGCTGTCATTTCCGAGTTAAGGAACGCTTTTTGGACTAAATCTGACTACTTCGGACTTTTTCTGACTATTTCTGGGAGATAAGGAACGCGCATATTGATAGTACCACGCTAGATGTTATTCTATGCATTTTCATTTCAGTGGAGCTGCCAATCGGCAACAAACTGCGGTTTGAAATTGCGTTGCTATCCATAATCGGCCATAAAATCCGGGACCGAAAACTATCATTATGAAGGACTTTTGTTTTAAAATCATTTCATAATGGTTATTTCAGGTTATTTTTCGATTAAAAATAATCGTTATTAATATTTTTCCGATAATTTTTAATCGTTATTTTATGATTTTTAGTTTTTTCCGTTTATAAACGTTATTTTCAGATTTTATTTTTTATATTATAAAAGATTTACATCAGTAACCCAGCCTCCATTATAAGGGTTAAAAATGAACTAAAACAAACAAAAATCCAAAATAACGATTTTTTTCTGATCGAAAAAAATTAAAATCACAAAACAACGATCAGAGATGATATAGAAAAAATAAAAATCACACAATAACGATTGAAAATTATTGAAGAAATATTTATTTATTTATTTATTAACAAACAGCCTACGGCTAATACAATTATTCTTATATACAAATAAAATTTCAAATTTATCAGAATCACCGAATAACGACTAAATTATGATTTTTGATATAAAACCCATAATGGTTACGGAATTATAAGGAAAAGATTTTCTATTATCAAGCATTTCCTTGAACATGCTCTCCACATTTCAGTGTTTTTAATTTATAACGATCTTGGTACAAACGAAAAATTAAATAAAATCTGATTTATGGAACCAAAGAATGGAACCAAAGAACGTAAATGTACATTTACGTTCTTTGCTTTCTGGTAAAATCCTGTAAATTCTTGCAACTTCTTGCGAGTTACTGCCATCCCTAAATTGGCGCGTCAAGCGCCAAACAACTGTCAAAAATCCTCATGCCCATACAATTTGTATGAAGCATCCCACAATAACGCGGCGCTAACGCCGAGCAAATGGAATTTTCATTTTTGACAGGGCGTTACGTGTTGAAGTTGGATGCGGAAGACGGAAAGAAAGAGAAAGGACAAAAAAGTGAAAGAGGAAACGAGAATAAAAACGAGAGGATCTGAGAAAACGTCAAAAATTACGACGCGTTGATTTGGGGATAGCGCGCGCTGACACTCGTCGACAATGGATAACGCAACGCTTAGCGCTCCAATTTAGGGACGGCAGTTAGGGAACGCAACTTATATATCCCTTTCGCGTTATATGGCATCTTTGTTATACTGTCATTAAAGTAGTTAAGGACGTTGGCAGCTCTAAATAGTGTTGCCAGTTCCTTTGCATAATAGGTGTGTACTCGTATTGAGGGAACAAAATTATCCAGCAGCGAAAATTCTAACATTTAGCAGCATTTGCTCTCAAAAAGGCAAAATATCCACAGAAGTACGAGAACATAAAATTTGCAAAAACTTACAACTTTCGAAACACCTGATCACTTCCACAGTTTCCACTGGTGGTTCATTTGGCAATTTATTTCCTGCTTGGTATATTTTCCTCAGATTTGGCATTTTATACAATTGATTAGTTTTGGATAAGAAAACCCTTTTTAAAATACAAATTAATTATATCGGAATGAATAAATTATTTTTCTCATAATTATTTGTGATATCACATGGTGACGCATTCAAAAACAATATCCTCCAAACACACATTATTGATCCAAAAAAATTATTAGATATAGCTACAAATGTAGCTTTAAAAATATGAAATTTTTATTTCAAAAATCAACCGACTAAATCCGACAGACTGGATGAAAACCAACAGAACAAAATGAGTATACGTACAGGAAGTTTGAACAAAGAACGTAGACAACTACGATTATCTACGTTATTTGGTAAAATGAGTTTTGAGTGGAGCACGTACGGTCGCCTTTTATCCATATATATACATTTACATGTGCATTTGTATACACAAAATACTTCAACATAAATCTACCAAAATGAGAAAAAATGTATCTTTAACCAACTTAAATTTTTTCTACCAATTTGGTAACAATTTACTAAAGTGGCAACCCTGGTGGTGGGAGACGAGAAAAACAAACATTTTTTCCAATAGTTAAAAACTTTTGTTTATAATATAAATTTAAAAGTATTGAAGCGAGTATAAAACTCTTAGCACATAGTAGTTTACATCAGCAAGTATATTGCTAACGTCAACCACTATAACAGTAAATTAGATGTTAATTTAGAAAATACGAAAACAATAAAAATATATGCGGATGGATTAGAAGCAACCAGAAATTTTAGTGAAGTGACCACAACTAAATTGAAAAGGAATAATTTTTCGTGTGTTACACGTACTAGCTTGCAAAGATAACCAATATCCAAGGCGTAAGGCGTAGTAAGCGTGGGAAAGGAAAAGGACCCTCAGCAAAAAGACCATAAGCATCGAAATTGCTGGCCAGTGGAGGCCTGGTACAAAGCGCCGTGATGAGCAGTGCCAATGCTAGTTCTGAACATGACACTACAGGACAGAAATTAAAGACTGAAGCTAGTAAAACGGGAAAAGAAAATGGATGGCTTTCGTATATTGTACCCAGCATGCAGAGAAAAATTACAAAACTTAATTATGACTTGATAGAGGAATGTAAACGGTGCAAGGAAGATTCAAGTTTATCCAAAACGATATGTGATGAATTAGAAAGGTAAGCCAAGAAATGTAATTATTTTACTTAAAAAAGATTAATCTACATATGTGGGTTAAAAAATAAGATACAACATGACAATTTTAAAATAACAAGGTTAAAAGTTATCTGCAGGGCTATGTATATAGAAATCGTTTTTTTTTTTTT